AAAAAAAAATATATATATATATACATATATACTCGTATATATAGTCATGTGACAAGTAACTTCACGCCGTTATTGCAATCACTGCAAAGCATCAGTTATATATTACTGAATCATTATCCAACGGGCAACCTTAAAATCATTATGGGAGGCTATAATTAATACCTAAACTTACTTACTTATTTACTTACTTAATTACTGATGGAGCTGAGCCCTTATGGAGGAGCCACCAATTCTACAGCTACTCAAGAATTTCCCAGTATTTTATGGAACCCAAAGTTCATTATCGTGTTCACAAGAGCCCTCCACAGGTCCCTATCCTGAGCCAGATCAATCCAATCCATACCATCCCATCCTATCTCTCTACTATCAATTTAATATTGTCCACCCATATACACCTTGGTCTACCCAGTGGTCTCCTGGCTTCCCACAAATATCCTATGTGCATTCCTCATCTCCCCCATTTGTGCTACATGCCCTGCCCACCTCATCCTCCTTCACTTGCTCATTCTAGTTATACTTGGAGAAGAGTACAAGTTATGAAGCTCCATCAATACCTAAAGTGTTACAAAAATTCTGTGGTTCATTCACAAAGGGGATAATCTCCATGCATATAAATCAAAGTCTACTGCATTTCCAGCTTCATGTTAAAACTAGCCTATATCAACAAAATTATCAAGACACCTCACTGATATACAAGACACAATGTTTGGGTTAGATAAGTAAAACATCCACATGAAGATATATTTGTGCATAAACATGCAGCAGCAAACCATCTTACAGTAAGTGAACACTCACTGATGAGATGTATATTTTACTCTAAATGATTAATTACTGAAGTTCAGTAAAGTACCTTGCCATGCTTGGCCACAAATACGGACAACACAGATGGCAAACTAACTCCAGTTGTAGGTATACCTCAACCTTAATGATACGTCAGCCTAGACTACTTGCACTCACCATTACTCTTAAACTGCCTCAAATTTATCAGTAGATCTGCTGCAATGTTATTTCTGAACAAACACAATGAACACTGTCAGCATAAAAACCCAAAGGACAGATCCTGCAACTATGCTTATCAATTTCATGGATACAATCTGTATCCTCTCACCTCGTAAATACAGCAGTACTCCTTCCATTTTTGTGGCATTTTAAATTTATGGGACAATGTTACTTACTTACTTACTCATGGAGCTGAGCCCTTCTGGAGAAGCTACCAATTCTGCAGCTACTCAAGAATCTCCCAGCATATTATGGAACCCGAAGGTTCATTACCGTGTTCACAAAAGCCCTCCACTGGTCCCTATCCTGAGCCAGATCAATCCAATCAATACCATACCATCCTATCTCTCTAAGATCCATTTTAATATTGTCCACCCACCTATGCCTTGGTCTTCCCAGTGGTCTCTTTCCTTCTGGCTTTCCCACCAATATCCTCTATGCATTCCTCATCTCCCCCATTCATGCTACATGGCCTGCCCACCCCATCCTCCTTAACTTGATCTTCTAATTATACTTCGAGAATAGTACAAGCTATGAAGCTCCTCATTATGCAGTTTTCTCCAATCTCTTCTCACTTCATCTCTCTTTGGTCCAAATATTCTCAACATCCTGTTCTCAAACACCCTCAGCCTATGTTCCTCCCTTAATGTCAGAGACCAAGTTTCACACCCATACATAACCACGGGCAAAATTATAGTTTTCATATTCTAATTTATATGTTTTTTGGACAACAGACAAGAAGACAAAAGGTTCTGGACTGAATGGTAGCAAGCATTACCTAAGTTCAATCGCCTCTTAATTTCCTCCTGAAACAGGTTTCAATCTGTTATTGTTGTCCCCAAATATCTGAATTGTGCAACATTTTCAAAACATCTGTTACCTATCTTTATATCATGATTTTGCCCTGAATTTTGGTGATGAGACAGCAACACATACTTAGTTTTTCTCAGTGTTTACTTCTAGACCAACCTCTTTACTTGCATCAATTAAAGTTTGTGTGTTTTTCTTTATGGTATCTACATTATCAGCCAGTAGATTCACATCATCGGCATAGGCCAACAGCTGATGTGTCCTGTTTAATTTCATTCCCACTTGGTTTCCCTGGACCTTCCTAATGGAATATTCTAAAGCAAAGTTGAAAAGGAGTGGCGATAGAGCATCTCCATGTTTTAGACCATTCTGGACAGAAAATTTATCAGACAAATGTTTACCTACACGGACCTTACTATACGTTTCGTTTAAACACATTTTAATTAACCTAACTAGTTTCATGGGAATCCCAAAGTCTATCAGAGTATTGTACAATACTTCCCTCCTAACTGAATCACAGGCTTTCTTGAAGTCTATAAATAGCTGATGTACTGCCTCATCGTACTCCCATTTTTTTCTCCAATATCTGACGAATGCAAAAGATCTCATCTGTAGTTGATCTGTTACGTCAAAACCCACACCGATGATACCCAATAATTTCATCTATATATGGACTTAACCTTGAGAGAATAGTGGATAAAATTTTGTATGAAGTTGATAGCAGTGATATCCCACGATAATTACTCCAATCAGTTTTATCACCCTTCTTGTGAACTGGTACAATAATAAGACTCCTTCCACCGATCAGGCAATTTTTCCTTATGCCAAATCGAAGTAATTAGATTGTGGATCTTAGAACGTAATATTTCGCTTCCTGCTTGAATAAGTTCTGCTGGAATTTGATCACTACCTGGCGATTTATACCGTTTCAATTTTGCAATAGTACTTTCAACCTCAAAAGGGCTAGGATAAGGTCCTAATGGCTCAGCTGTATGGATTTCTGTCTGCCTAACATCACTGACCCTATGTACATTCAATAACTGAGAGAAGTACAGGGTGAACTGTATAGAACCGGCCCGATGAATTTGCTAATAATTCCACAGGTGATGCATATAACCGCTCATAATTACAACATAATCATCCGTGGGCCGTGCTAGTCAAATGGTGTGCACATGATCCCGCAAATGGCAGCCATTATGCTGCAAGGTCAAGGACAATCCCGAAACGTGTCTGCAGTGTGCAGGCGACAGATATGGAGTACACTGTTGAACAGTGAGTGTTTCTCGTGCGCACGTACTGGGTGACAGGCTCGACTGCGAACACACAATTGGAATTCAGGAGGAAGTTCGGAGTTCGCAAGAAGCCAGCGAAATCGACTATACAGTCCTTGGCTCAGAAATTGGAAAGGACAGGGACACTTTTAAGTGAACATGGTAAAAACCGCCCAGAAATGCCAGAAGAAACAATTGCAATTGTGTGGGACAGGTTACTGCAGTCTCCCAAGAAATCATTACAACGTCTAAGCCTGGAAACTGGGTATTCTTATTCAACGTGTCAACGGGCTGCAAAGAAAGCAAATCTTCATCCCTACAAGATCACCAGTGTACAGGAATTGGGTTATGTTGATAAAGATAAACAGATAAGGTACTGTTTATGGTTTCGGGAATTCGTGCACGATAACTCCAGAATTTTGGATATCACTTGGTTTAGTGATGAAGCACGGTTCCACCTACCAGGATATGTAAACGCACAAAATTAAAAGGATCTGGGCATCTAAAAACCCACATGAGATTACTGAATCACCACTACACCCACAAAAAGTGGGTGTGGTGCCCCATTTCTGGTTCATGAATCACTGGACCGATCTTCTTCGACACTACCGTGGACAGCACCTTATACTGCCGTATTTTTTACGATTTCGTGCAGCAGCTGGATGATGTGGAACTTATACAGGGTTATTGTCAGCAAGATTCAGCAACATGCCACATGTCCAACATGTCCATGGAACTGATTGAGAGCTTCTTCGCCGATCGCATCATCTCTAAAAAGATGTGGCCCCCCAAAACCCCCCAACCTTACCAGCCCGGATTTTTTTCTCTGGGGTTTACTGAAGGACAGGGTGTATACAAACAAACTGTGTACGTTACAAGATTTAAAGGACAACATTTTGACTGAAATCAGGAACATCACTGAAGAAACACTGCAACGAGTCATGGCAAATATGCAAACGCGGGTGGAGGTGTGCCTACCTGAAAACGGCGGACACTTTCAACACCTGCTCTGATCACAGCACACAATGCAAGATAAGATAGGTGTAAATTACTTTAACATCTGTATGGTATATTTTATATTACAGCTCATTTCGTCTGGTCGGTTCTATATGAATCACCCTGTAGTTCCTCCACCTATTCAAAATGTTGTGGGAATTTGCAAGCCGATCACCATTCTCATCCTTCACTAAGTTACCGCTAGGTTAGTAACTCCTCTCAACATCATTTATTCCTCAATACAATTCTCTACTGTTCTTGTTCATTGCAAGCTCATCAATTTTGTCTTTCAGATATTCCCTATTTTTGTTTCTGAAATGCCTGCTGGTTTCACATCTTATATTGTTCAGATTATCCCCATTTAACTCACCTGGATCCTGTAACCACTGGAAGTTGGCCTGCTTTCTTTGATCTAATAATTCTGAGCATCCTTCATCGAAACATGGCTTACGCTTCTTAGGTTCATAATAACCTACACTCTCTTTGGCAGACATTTTTTTATTCTCTCTAATAGTTTCCTTAGCTTTATTAACATCCACCACAGTTTCCAAGTTTTCCAAAGCAACAAACCTATTTGAGATATCAACACAATACTGTTCTTTGTCCTCTAACTCATTTAATTTCTTGAGATTGAACCTCTTCATATGAACTCTGTGTGTTGTTTGTTTGCTCACTGCCAGTCTTTCCCTAACCTTTGCCACCACCAGGTAGTGGTCAGCATCATAATCTGCTGCCCTGAATGATCGGACATCAAGTATACTTGAGTGCCATCTCCTATCTATCAAAATATGGTCTAGTTGATTGTGTATCTTCCCATCAGATGTCCAAGTAAATTTATGGATGTTACGATGTGGGAACATTGTACTTTTGACAGTAAGATTTTTTGATGTGGCAAAGTTCACTACTCTAACTCCATTATCATTACTAATTTCATGCAAACTCTCATTCCCAATCATTGGTTTGAAAATGTCTTCCCTCCTTACTTTGGCATTGAAATCTCCTAACAAAATTTTCATAGGGTACTTCGGGAATTTATCAAATACACGTTCTAGTTCTTCATAGAATATGTCCCTTATGTCATCAATTTTATCTTCTGTTGGGGCATGAACATTCATAACAATGATATCACACCAGCAACCTTTAGTATTATATTTGATATCCTATCACTAACAAACTCTACCCTCTTAACTGCTGATACGATTCTCTTATGTACGAAAAAACCTGTACCTAATTCATGATTTTCATTCGCCTTTCCATAGAAAAATATACAGTCTCCTGCTGGTGTGATGCCACCTCCGTCCCATCTGACCTCCTGTACTCCCGCTAAATCTAACTTATATTTTAGGATTTCTTCTGCCACTGCCCTGAGCGAACCTGCCCTATACAAACTCCGAACATTCCAAGTGCCAAATCTCATATCCATTTTCTTTAGCTCAGGTTGTTTATCCAAGGAATCCGTCCAGGTCCAAGGCTTTGTGTTCATTTTCGTAAAAGTGTAATTTTTTATGGTGACGAGTTGTTAGCCCCACGCCCAAACCCCAAACTGGAGGGCCATCCCTTGTCTCTCAAAATTCTACATACACTGTACAACACATTTTGATGTGTAAATGTACAACTGGTCGCAGTGCAAGGGCCGAGAGGGCCCACCCTTTGTACATTCATTCATAGTAGCACTTAACTCAATATGGGTGATAAACTAAATTTATTTATGGCATAATTTTTCTTCAAATTAAAAAAAAAACTCTGTGGCCTGTAGTCCACAAGCAAACTATACCAACTGAGAAACCACTGCTTTTCGGTGAAGTGCCGACTTTACCAGATAAAAGGTGTTGCGTGGTCAGCGCAAGACCCCATGGACGTTAATCTCAGTTTTCTAGACAAGAGCCGCTATTTCCTTGAAACAGCTCAATTATCCTCACAAGGCTGAGTAAACCACGTTCCAGACCCACTACTTCTCAGAAAATCTGGTAGTAGCACCGGGAATCAAACCCGGGACCTCTGGATCTGTGGCCAGGAATTATGACCACTAGACCACAGAGGCTGTCTTTGCTTCAAATTAACAGTAGAAATATACTCCAATTACACAGTGGTACAACTGTGTATAGTTCTAGCAAAATTTCTGTATTCACACTCTACCTTAAACTAGGAAACACTGGGGGGGTGGGGGAGGGAAGTAAATAGTAACTTAACATGAAACAATACAAAACAATTCAGCAATTAAGAATGCATACACAAAATATAGAACATTCTCTCCAAAATGTGTTTGGGGAATAAAGCGTGCCAGTTACATGAATCTGCTGGTTTCATGAGTTCTACCTCTTCCATGATAATATTTTAATTTTCTGCTTCAAAGACAAAACATATTTTTGCTTTAGTTCTTGTGTGACTTCTTGGAGACAAAAACTGATGAGTGAAACATTTTAGATACTGTATACGGCAACATGATCCCAAATTCTACATCTACTGTAATCATGCATCATGACTCTAGTGACACATATGATGGAAAACGGACAATGCTCCCAGTGAGGGCTTGGAGAACTAACGCAAGGTAGGTGAACATACACATGTCATAACTTTATTTTTGAAGTAATTTTATAAAATGGCAAATTATCTTTGAAATTTCTGCCCGATGCATGAGAATTCCAAATGCTTGGATATAGGATAACCAGAAGTTTACTGTACTCTGCCAGTGCTTGAAATCAAAATCTGTACAAAATCCCTTTGTTCTTGTTACATGTATGCATCCACTCAGTAACTACAATAAAAAGGCCATTTTCTTCAAAGTGTCTGTTTCTTCACACATGCTTGCATAGATTTGAAAATAAGCATGTTACTCTTCTCAGTTAACATTAAGCTACCACAATAATTTAATTTCTTTTACTTCCCCATACTGCAGGCATATAACAATAGAGACATGAAATATTTAACATAAACACAGATTACCAAATATCCTATAGTCTGAGGTATCACAATTTAATGTGAGCATGAGAAAAAAGAACAAACCATAAATAATATATAAATATATCTCGACAGACAAAACGTGGTAATGTACATGCTACAAATTCTAGACATTAAAAAGTCATGACATACAACACACAAAAATAAATAACGTTATATGAACACTGCATTGCAATTGAGTGGGACTCTCGGTGTGGGACTGTTATTTTGAGGGCCTCGTCTGTTAACATGCCCTAGCACAACCTTTAACCTACAAATGAACCTCCATCAACTCCAGTGAACCTAATTAAATATAATGGTAAAACTATTATACGTCTCTCAAATTGCTCATTCTAAGGATAACACTTTTACATCAAGTATACCAGGTTTTTACACAATTCCTCCACATTTCGCAAACACGAGGAACTGCACAACAAAACGCACATTCCATTAACAGGCCAGTCTTGGAATATGGCAGGAAACTTAACTAGCATTCTTCTAATGTATCCGTTACTGTAGGCACTTCTTGCGCATATTTTGCTTACACCCTTCTACTATCCTTATAGTATCTGATGACTGACAATGTTAATAATAAAACATTAAGGACCCATAGTTCTGATATGCACTATCCTACTACAGAGCTATGCTTTTTTGCACACTCGAATTCTAATATCTAACAAAAGAAGGGCGTGTTTTGTTATTCACTTACAGTATGCTACAATAAGTCATATCAGTTTAGTTCTAGAAATAAAAAAAAATTAACTTACAGTATACATCATGGTTAGACCGTGTGTTGTACTCTTCCTCTTTCCTTAAATCTGAAAGCCTTAAATTTGACGTAACAAACGCAAATAAACTTTCAAAATGTCTGGTTATGTGCAAACTAATTTCAGCGGGCTTCTAATACCACTTTATTAGCAAGTTACCTACTCCAGAACAACGCGTCGTTGTACTGCTCTAGTACCGCAAAACCTGTCTGCTTCAATACTGCGGTGGGTCCGTGAAAGATTCGACAACGGCCTAAACTCGAATAATTCTATTATAATTCGCACTTTACATATATCTACGTTAGACTAATTTACGGTTATTTATCTACTATAGATAGTAAACATTACCCGAAAAAAGCCTGCATCTGTCATTTTGTAGCGGATTTAATATTACCAATTTTTATTTCACTACCATGCTAACAAAGATGGCGTAGCTTTTAGTGCAGAAATAGCGCCCTCTGAACCGCTCTGAACTACATTATGAGGGGTATGAGCGATTATGAGAATTTAAGTTTCGATTATAATCGATTGTATTACGCATCACTTTAATAAAACTTGATATATCAGTAGACCGGTAACCGAATTACATTAGTCGGAATGCAACATCGATAATTGCATCAAAAAGTCCATAAGTTGTATCTATACTTCTAAAAACCGGAGATGACACAGTATTACAAATGTAACCTTATAGTAGGCCATGGACAGCACCATATCGTACCAAGTTGACTGTACTCCATGGTTCCGAGCAGTTCTGAGCGATTGGTGTTTAGTAATCCGTAGGTACCATGCCGGTTAAGCGTAGGAAAACAAAATGTCGAGCTTCAACATATTTTGCCGACTGTATTCCGATGCTTGCGGGTGATAGTTTGGCGTATACGGATGGCGAAAAAAAGGTCCCATTAAAATAATTTACTGTTCGATGTATCCCAATGTCTGAATACAAAAACATATGTAGCACGAAATGTTCGATAGGACACGGAATGAAAGGTGTGCTCCAAAAAAAACTCCACTAACTCTCCTTCTGAAACGCATTCCCAGATTATTTTGGCAATAAAAATAAAATAGTAATAACAACACTCAAAGTTATAATTTAGGAGGTGATGATAACAGTTAATCAATTCAATTCCCTTAATTAAGTGCTTTCCAACAGCGAGAGGCTTATAACAATCTAGCATTAAAACAGAAAAACAAAAGCTAGGCTATGACTAGAACTGCAGCTGCAATTAGAACTATATTAAAATGTAATACTAGCCAATAAAACAATACAGGTAACACGATATTGATGCAAATCAGTAGGATTAAGAAAGGAAATTGTTTCCTCAAGGGAGATGTTATGGTTACTGGAAGCGTCCTGGGATCTGCAGATATTTTTTGCAGCCGTGACGCACTTTGTTGATGGGCTGAGATATATTGAGGCTGCCACATTTTCTAGACAATAGGTTCATAGACGACGGTGAGGTTAGCATTACACGCCGGTCGCCATTAGCCCCCCCCCCAAGATTCCTGGTTCTCATTTCTACTAGAAATGGCCAATAGTGCGGCTATGACCTCATCGGGAATCCAGAAGAAGTGAACAGGCAAAATCAACGACATATGAGGGAAACAAGAATTGAAGCAGACGGACGCTCTCAAGTTTTTCTGGCATCGACAGACATGATAGAATTCCAACTGCAGAGACATATTCTAACATGAACCTGACTAACGTAGGTATATAGCACATATAAACAATTCAGATAATAAAATCTGATGGTTATGGAGCGAATAAGATCTAACGGCTCTATGCATTCGGCAAATAAGAAATCAACATGAATGTGAAAATATAATTTTGGATCAAAGAAAACACCTTGGTCCTCAATATTGCTGGTGCATGTAATGGTAGCATGGCACAGCTGATACTCGCAACTCAGAATATATTTGTCTTCCTGGAGTAGGGCATAACACGTGTTTTAGCAATATTAAGTCTCGTAGAGTTAGCAGCGCATTAGTCACTCACGGAATTAATGTCAGATTGGAACGAGAGGCAATCATGTGGAGAGCTAATGGCGAGCAAAAGTTTGATAAAGAAATAGTAATTTGAAAAATGATGACTGCGACAACCTTCATTAAGATTGTGTTGGAAAATTAATTTCATTTTAAGGGTATAACTTCTTACATACAGTGCGGTTGCATTTCTTGCAAGGATACATCACAAATTCACTGTTATTACACCGTAAAACAAAATTATATATGAAATTAAATATACACGTGCTTCAAAAGAATACAATAAATCTTATTTCAATGCAGATAAAACTTAATAAAAATAGTGTAGCATGTAGACCCGTTGCTAGGTAATTACTATAGACTACGACCGCGGAATACGCAAATATACGGCAGCCATGGATGAGGAACGGCTTTGCCAACAAACATGTTCCCACGATAGCGATTGAACTACAACAATGAGAAGTGATTTCTACGCAGTCCGCCCTGAGGGGTTATAAGCTGGGCAAGTTTACCTGCACGGAAACTGAAATTTATAAATATTTTAGTGTAAACATTAGATTTCATACTCATTGTATTGTGATGGCATTGTATGTATGTATTAATATTCTGAACCTTTTATAATATTGTTAGTGTGACGGACCAGGATGAAACAGATCAAACATACTGATTCTTTTCACTGCTGCCACGGGAAGCACATGTTGGTGTGTTCATCAGCTTTAGTGTCAGACCTCATATTACAGATAGATGTTTATGCTGACACTGCACCTTTGATTTCACCCTACCCTTAACGAGTTACATGATGCCATCTGCATTGCTTCAGGTATCTCAATCAGGTGATATGGGCAAAAGTGGCAGATAACTAGGGACCTGGGAAAATTAGCTCAGGGTGTAATGGGCAGAAGTCATTCCTTGGAGAACAAAGTCTAAAATGAAACTGTGGACTCAAAGCATTCCTGAACAGTACTGACATGTCTTCAAGTGCTTCAGCGTAAATGAGAGACCCCTTAACTCCACATATTGATCCCATTGTTTTGAGGACAGCTTGTACATCCTGTGCATGAGACTAATGGTTAGCCATTACTGTCAAAGAGCTGACTGGATGCTGCCAGCAAACTTGAGAAAATTCCCAGAGTGTATTACAATTGTACAGGGGATGGACAAAAATATGGAAACACCCAACAACATTACCGTGACTAATATGGTGTAGGACAACCTCAGGCTTGCAGGCTCCTTGGAATGGATAACAGAGGTTCTGTATGATTTGCAAGGGACTCTTGAACCATTCTTCCTGCAAAACATTGGGGAGTTCTGTTAACGATGATGGAGGTGGATAGCCTGCACGCAGATTGCTCTCCAAAATAGACCACAAAGGCTCAATAATATTGATATCTGGTGATTGTGGGGGCCAGGGCAGATGTGACACTTCATCTTAGTGCTCAGAAAACCAGTCTTGGACAATGTGAGCTGTGTGAACATGGGCACTGTCATCTTGGTAAATGGCATCACCACTGGGGAACAAAGTTTGCACCATGGGATGGACCTGGTTGCACAAAATGGTCACACAGTCGTTGACAGTGAAGTGGCCTTGCAGGGTAATGATGAGTCCGACAGAATACCACGATATGTCTGCCCATACCATGATGAAACCCCCGCCATGTTTCACTCTTGGCAGCAAACAATCTGGATCTTAAGCTTGAGATGGCGTTCTCCAGACGTAAACTTGGCCAAAAGTCAGAAACAGTGTGAAGGTGGACTCATCCGACCAAATGACCATCTTCCATTGCTCCTAGTCCAGATTTTATGACTTCAGCACCACACTCTCTTCTTAGTTGCATTTTGATCACTGATGAGTGACTTTGGAATTACAGCTCGTCCAGAAATACCCTGCTTGTGGAGTTCCCCTCATACTGTTTTGGTGCTGACAGGGTTTGTGAGTGTGACATTCAGTATAGCAATCACTTTTGCAGCTGCAGTCTTATTTTTCGTCACAATCCTACGCAATGTTCATCTGTCTCGATCACTCAAAACACATTTCTGTCCACTCTGGTGTTTATCGGATGCGGTTTTTCTAGTCCTCCGGTATCAGGTCATAATCTTGGATAATGTGCCTCGCGAAACACCAAAAACCTCGGCTACCTTGATTATGGAAGCAACCACCATACAGGCCCCAGCAATTTGCCCACATTCTAATTCTGTTAGCTCTGACATGATGCACTAAAAACTGCACAGAACACTGTCTCGACAACAAATGAAGCTTGAAACATATTTCGGAGGTTGTACAGGTAGTGGTATTGGGCAGATAAGACAGCGTCGCTAAAATAAACACTTCAATTCAGGCATGCATTTCACAATGTGTTTCCATATTTTTGTCCATCCCTGTATAATTTTCATATGGGGTCTAAATTTTGACAATTCAAATTTGGTATATTTACAAAACCATCAATATGCAATGCCACGGATACCTCATCAGCACTTGGTTCCTTTTAGCACATAACCTCTTCATATATCTGATCCGATGTATACCAGGGTCTTTAGAGAAGGATGTCTAGGATGTGAACCCAGCAGTGTCACCACTTTAGATGTTAACATGTCTCTAGCCAACTTGAATACAAAGTTACATAGCTCCCTTCACACCCATGGCATTTGGTAACTTGTGAAGACTACACTGAAAAACTGTGCTGTTTCACAAGTAACTGTGATATTTTACTAGCTATTTTCAGACAGCTAAGAACAAGATAGTTATTTTACTTTATGTGCACACCACTAAGCACCCCAGCTTAGGTATGGTACAAGACTCTAATCTTGAGACTTGTAAGGAATGTAGGAAGTCAGAACCATTAAAGAAGCGGCAGTATGGATCAGCAATTCCTATCTGAGCCAAGGCTAAATTGCTTTAGTTCAGCCCTACATAAGTATACTTATGGCCAATACGTTTTGAATTAATGCTATATGCAGCAGGCAGAACTATTTCAATACCTTCCTCCTTTGATGGCCCCTTCACCCCTAACACTGAAAAGTGTTAAGAATATAGTATTCACCAATAGGTTTGCTGGTATTTTGTTTCTTTTTTGGAAGAGCCAAGAAATATTCAAAAGTTGTATTAATTCTGGGACGCATTTACAGACATCGCTCATTTTATGAATTTTTTCTACAATGAAGCATATTACTTTGCACCTATTTTTCATATCACAAACTTCATTCTCACTACAACAAACAATTTTCTTTCATAATAAGTCGTTCTGTGAAGGTGGAGAAATACCAACACATGGGATTAAGCAGATATTCCCATTCTTGTACATCTCCCACCTTCCCAGCCTGTCTGCACCTCATTAATATACACAATCAACTGTATCCTTGATGCTTACATTTTATCCATAAATATTTGTATTATTAGTACTTATCATGGATCCCAAATAAGTGAAAGTGGTTAACAGGTACTGAGAAGCCAAAGACAGTAAGAACAGCAATAATGTTGCTGTAAGCTGTATCACTGCATCAGCTATGAGAAAATTAATGTAAATAGTGAGAGTTTTATTTGCAACACTATCATAAACAAGCAATACTGTCTTCATTTCAATGCTTATTTACCATTAAAACGTATATTAAAAATATCAGGGATGTTCTTACAAACCGTTTTCATGGCATGAATTACCTTTGTAAAGGAAGGGATACCTGTATTAGGAGCATGGAGGAACACCACCACATGGAAACCAATTTTATTGACTCATCATACAAGGACAACTTTTAAGCAGTGTTAACATCTTTTATCCAGTAGCAGCCTTTGCAGCAAGCCGCTTATCTCTCTCTTCTGCAATACTGAGTTTCACACCCTTTCCGCGTGGCAGTGACACATATGGTTTGGTGGCTTTACCAATTATGAACACATTGTTCAATCTGGTAACAAAAAGAGAATAGTTCCATTGGTATAAAATCAAGCACATTTCAATATCAACACAAAGACAATGCCCATACTTTCTTACATACAATTAACCATGACTACATTATGTAAGATTTGAGGTTTTCATGGCGGTGACTATGAAGAAAGCAGTCTTCTTGGATGTTAACACCACCACATCTACATGGCGCCACATCCCAGAAGACTGCTTTCTTCATGACTACATTACTTCAGAAACGAGACTGGCCATTGCTTGGCAGACCAATGTTGTTACTAAGCACTAAACAAAGAGATCCATATGACCAGTATAGCCAGATTCAGTATTCACATGTGGTCCCCTAGTGTGTGTACCATTAAAACAATGCCTATGCAGTTTCATATAGGGAGATTAGTCTCCATTACTATTGCTATTTAATCAAAACCATTCATGCTGTTTTTGAGAAATCTGTCGTTTTTTGAGTCCATCTATCTTTGGAGCTGGAATGTTCATATTTACCACACATTACCTAAAAGGTACAGACTTTTATACCAAATATAAATTAAATATGCTCAACTGCTCTAGCACTGGCAGGATGCACATACATCCCATTCATTCATTCATTCATTCATACATACATACATATTGCACTGCAGAAACACTTTTTGTATCAGGGGGCTAAAAATGTGTAAATTGGAACAAACCTTGAGATCAACTTCTGTTCACTATTAGAGTACACTACATATATGAGCTAGTAAAAATTGTTCAAACAGAAATGGAACTTCAGAGCTCAATCTCCTGAGATTGTTACTGCCAGCAAAAAGTCAACTGGGATTTAAGGGTGATATATCACACATCTTCAGGACCAAAGAGTACACGAAGCAAGAAAGCAGCATGAGGCAAAAGCTCTGGCCAACTAGACTGCTCTGGATACACTATGATCCGCTTCTTAAACTCTACAAAAGATAAGTCACTCAGACTTATGTACCTGTATACTTCCTTTTTACATCTTTACACCAATTTCCAAAGCTTCCTCCAGCTTATACACTCAACATCATATTCAACTGTCATTCTACAAAAATTTCACTATTTTTCACATCCTCAGACCACAGAAACTGGATCATAGATCATATTTCTTCTTCAGTGCATTCCATAATGGAATAGAGATATTCAATGTATCACAATATTGTTATTTAAAGACAACAAAAAGGTACAAATGACATAGTTCATAGTGTTCATAGGTTCATAGGTCATACCAAAAGTCACGAGCAACTTTCTAGTGATGGATATATATATGCTCTTTATAGTTTTTAAATAAAGGCTTTGTAGTGATATTTTATTTATTTTCATTTATTATTTATTTATATGGATATTGTTTAATCTGGATGACCTCTCCACCCATTTATTCCAGATTAGCAAGAGTTTAGTGAACAATCATTTTCAGTGATGCCTCATCACATTACTTCCCCTTGTGCCTTTAATGAGTCAACCATATCTTCATAATTCTTCCTTAACAGAGGAAGAGCTGCACATTTCTAATCTCTGAATTTATACACTTATGCAAGACACTTAAGACTAGTGATGTGAATTAATAATTATAGAATTTGAGAACAATAACCTTAACACACACACACACATCTTAATTAACAAAATTCAAACTTTCACTATGGTGTACAGAATAAAGCAAACACAAACATAGTACACACAAAATTCAAGTGAAAAATATACAATGTGGAAGTGTCTTCAACTTGGGTAATGCTGGTAAGGCATCTGTAAGCCACATCAGCGACCATTAGATGAAAATTATTTTTGGCCATGTTTTGACTGTATTAACTAAGAGAATGTTAAATACAGCTTCGATCAGGCCTACATATAGTCTTAATACCATACATTTAGAACTGCATGGGCCTTTCCTTGAATTCTACAATATGACTAGCATACAGAGTAAGATTGGGAAGTCCTTGCCACCATTCAGTCCAGAATCCTTTGCCTGTCATTCTCTATGGGTGTGAAGTATGGTGTCACCCTTAGGAAAGCATGTGGATTGAAGGGTTTTCAGAATATGGTGAGGGCAATTTCATCTAAGAAAGAGGAAGTAAAAGGATAGAATAATCTGCATCTATTCTTCAGAAAAGGTGAACAAATCAAGAATGAGGATACTTGATCATGCAACACAAGTGGGGAAGGTGAGAAATCTATATGAATACCAAAAAAACCTTAAGGGAAAATATCACTTGAAAGACCTGGGTGCAGATGGAAAGATAACATTAAAATTTATCTTAAATTGTGTGTTAGGGTGTGGACTACACATGACTTACACCAGAGGCCTGTGACAGGTTTCTGTACAATGCAATGTAACTTCATATTCCATAAAGAGCAGGAAACTTGAATGTTTATTAGCTTAACAATGCCTCTACACCACTGAAAGTTACTCCTATAAAAAACCTGTCAAGTTATTACAAACAGGGAAGAGAGCACACTAACCCAAAAAAGTACCCAGCGAAGACAAAATGGAGCAGCATTTAAGAAAAGTCACCCTGAAGCCCTTGCAAATACCAAAATAAATGAGAAAAGGAAAGCGGAAGTCACATTATGTATACCAACGATTATAACCTCAAAGAACTTAATACAAGATAAAATAATGCATAAACAGACCCTACTATTACCCAAAAACAATTCTCCAAATACTCGTTCATATGAACTGACCAGTNGAACTGAGACATGACTTGGGTGATACTTCTGACATACTGGGAATTGTGAAACCAAATGCAAGTGCACCACAATTGGTGGGTACTAATATACAAGAAGTGAATAAATTAACGCAGAAAGACATCCTTGTTCTGTGGCAAGGAACAAATGATATATCAGAAAATAATTCTATGAAGGGATTTATTCAAGAAATTAATTACCTAAGAAACAATCAACAAACTAATAATATAGTAATTACTGTCCTCCGTAGATTTGAGTTGGACTATAACTCATGTGTAAATGAACAGGTGAGGAAATTCAACAGAAGTTTAATTTCTTTATTATATCCATCACAACACAAGTAATATCAAGATCAGACCATTTTCAGTCCTGCTACGTGTTTCGGCTATTGATAGCCATCATCAGGCAAACACATGATTTACACACATATACACCACTGAACTGCAGAACCAACAAAATTGGATACTTCATCATCATCATCAGTAATCTATCAGATGACAGGTCCACAGTCTCTTCCAAAACAGTTCCTCCACTTAATGCGATCTGGGTTACCCCGACGAGCTTCTCTTGAGGACCCGACAGTTCGGTTCCGCTGCTGGGTTCCGGAATAGGAACCGGATTCCCTTTCGCCCTCGACGGGCGGGGAGCCACCCCGCCTCATCGGCATCGGATCTCTCCTAGGGCTTACGATCGACTGAATCGTGTGCAACGGCTGTTCACACGAAACCCTTCTCCACATCAGCCCTCAAGGCCCTCTCTTGAGTATTTGCTACTACCATCAAGATCTGCACCGGCGGCAGCTCCAGGCGGGCTCATGCCCAGACCCTTCTGCACTCACCACCGGGCCCTCCTACTCGCCGGGACTTCAGCATCACAGCCCTGCCTTCCGGCGGCCGGGTATGGGCACGGAGCTTTAGCGCCATCCATTTTCAGGGCTAGTTGCTTCGGCAGGTGAGTTGTTACACACTCCTTAGCGGATTCCGACTTCCATGGCCACCGTCCTGCTGTCTTAAGCAACCAACGCCTTTCATGGTCTCCCATGAGCTCCGGTTTAGGCGCCTTAACCCGGCGTTTGGTTCATCCCACAGCGCCAGTTCTGCTTACCAAAATTGGCCCACTTGGCACCATCATCCTTCAAGAGANCCCCCCCCCCAACTCCTCTTCTCCTCGCGGCTTCGCTCAAGCATGCCGGAGATCTCACCCATTAAAAGTCTGAGAACAGGTTGAGGTCGGTTCAGCCCCAAGGCCTCTAATCATTCGCTTTACCGGATGAGACTGGCCCATTCCAACTCGGCACCAGCTGTCCTGAGGTAAACTTCGGAGGGAACCAGCTACTAGATAGTTCGATTAGTCTTTCGCCCTTATACCTAGCTCTGACGATAGACTGCATGTCAGAATCACTGCGGACCTCCATCAGGGTTTCCCCTAACTTTGTCCTGGCCGGACAAAGTTCACCATCTTTTGGGTCCCGTGTGTGCCTGCGACCGGAGCCGAGGCGCTCCGGGAGTGCTGGCCGGCCATCCCATTCAGGAACTGAGTGGCCGTCCTCCCTTAGCGGTACACCCCACACTTTCACTTTGCCTCTGGGTTTAGTAGAGTCCCACTGACTCCCACACATCAGACTCCTTGGTCCATGTTACAAGACGGGTCAGGAGACCACGCGAAGCAGAAGTGCCACTGACTGGAGTGGCCAAAAGCTGTCCGAGGGCACCTGGGGCCAGCAGCCTGCCGGGGCGCTGGGGACATGGCGATTATTATAAAAATATATAAAAACGCTTGATGTAAAAATACAATAAATCCAGTTATATAAAACAGAAGTATGATATAAACTGATGCTGTTGACTGTTACCTGCATATCATTAGGGGTTAAAAAATCTTAGAATGTGAAGAGAGCTGCATGATTGGTGATAGAAGTGAAGAACAATAATATCCTAAAATCCTGTCAGCACAAAAATTTCCTTCGTCTTCTGATGGTGGTTTATATGGAATGGATTTGGGTATAAAATTGACATCAGAAACACTCCTTCGGGATCTCTTCTTTCAGCGCTCCTAATCTTTTGATGTGATAACTACTTTGGTGGTGGTGGTGGTGGGGGGGTATATGCATGCAAGCGCACACAATACAATACAATTCTGAAACCCAAAACTCTGCTGTGAATCATATCTCAGATGTGAGTTGCATCAATAACACATACACAAAATTCAAGTGTAATAAGAGAGACTGTGAAAATAAAATGATATTAGCAATTAGTAATGCCTACTGATATAAATGACCATTCAAGCATCTCCTATTTCTGTGGTGTTACATATGTAACTACACGCCACTTTTCAGAAGTGGACACAAACTTTCAAGATTTATACAGGACTCTATGCAACTCAGAAATTCACTGTCACTGAATAAAAGGTATTGTCCTTAGAGACAAAACCTGGGTTTTATTCAATCCTTCTAATACAGAGAACATTACTAACTCTGTTTCCCGTAAACTTATGTTGACACTGGCAGTATTGAAGCCTCTCTGATGAATCAACTTAGCAGATTTTGCCAGTGAATGTCTTAATAAATTTGCAATTGCTTACCTTGTGGCAAATGTATGTCCTTGGGAGTCTTTAATGTGGACTATGTCAAAGGATCCTGGATGTCGCTCTCTGTTAACAACTGTGCCCACACGTCCCAAGTTACGCCCTCCAGTTATCATGCACAGATTACCTACAGTGGTGGAAAGAATTGGAAAAATGTGAATACTCAAGTGTCAGGTATGTACAAACAAAATGACATCCGTGCTAATACGTCCAGCGATAGTTTATGAAATATTCTGAAGGATTTTGCAATACACCAACGATTTAAAGCACTGCCTTCATATGCCATGTGAATATACTCTTATATCATCGATCCGTTTATAAATAACTACATGGTAGGGGAACAGAGGAATCTTACAGACCTCCAATCCACAAACTATAGTTTTCCAAACACTAATTTCAAGAATGTTAATGATAAAATCCGCACCACTAAAAGAACCACCCTATATCAGATTTCTTCTATGTAAAAATTTCCACATTAATATACATTAAACTGAACCAGAAATGTAAGATTTGAGGCTTTCACGGCAGTGACTATGAAGAAAGCAGTCTTCTGGGATTTGGCACCATGTATAAGTGGTGTTAACCGACGTTTCGGAGGAACGTATAGCCTCCATCTTCAGGGTAGAAGGAAAAATATAAGAAATCCGGAAGCGAAGAGACCGTGAGCAGTCTGCTTTTACCGGTTCTCATGGTCTCTTCGCTTCTGGATTTCTTATATTTTCCTTCTACCCTGAAGATGGAGGCGATACGTTCCTCCGAAACGTCGGTTAACACCACATACAAGGGGGGACCCAAAAATAACTGGAATTTATTTTTGTTATTTTTTATTTTTGCATTTTTATTGAACTGTATATTAGTCCCCTTCAAAGTATTGTCCATGTGCATTAATGCACTTGTCCCAACACTTTTGCCACTGCTCAAAA